TCGAAGTAGAAGTACCTGAAACCAAAATTGAAAACCATAAACACGAGGCTTAGTGAGTTCCCCCATCATATCACATACCATAAAATAAACATACCGCCTATCATATCCGGGTGCTGGCCTACCCCTTCGGTCTCTTTCAACCGGTTACTGCCGAGCATATTACCATTCCGTAACATTCCATATAAACCATTGTTTATAAAATTTAAAATAGAAATATATTACTCTTTTGCCCAAGTAATCATCATAAACACGTAGGAAACATCGATACAGTTTTCGTAGATATATAGAACTCTTAAATCCGATTTCACATGAAGAAGTTATACTTCTTCGAAGTTTCACAATTAAACTGAAACGACTCTACGTATTGTAAAAAATAAAACTTTTGAGAAATTATTTTTTAGCCTAAATGATATAAACGAAATTCGTAGTAACCCTTAAACCGACATCATACGTATAGAGAACGTCTAAATATGACTTTATTAGAGGAATTTATAATTTTTCTAAGATTCAACATAATAGTATACCTCTCAAAAATCGAATATGAGATCAGGCAATTTTTTAGCCAAACAATCTAAATGAGAATTGAAGATCTTATTAATAGGAACCCAACGATATAAGGAAAGTAGAAAATGGACTTCAGATAAAAAAAACGTTAGGCATTTTAAACGGGTTTTAAAATCTAAGCCTGTGTGAAAAAAAATAAAGTCAAAATTAGCCGACCGAGTCTAAATAAAAATTGTAGATCTCATCGAGAGCTTTCCATGTATTTAAGGAACGCAAAAAATGGAGCTTGTACGAAGAAGTTATGCAATTTTGAAAATATGAAAAAATACATACGCACACACGTTGCGTATATCTTGCTCCCGAAGTCAGCCATGTAACCCCACCCAATAGAGGACACATGTCAACAAACCACATGAACCACGTTACCCCTAGTGTGCAGCGCACAATCCTAGAGTACATGACACGCAAACCTTTTCTTGCCTATATAAATCATGTTCTGCATATGCTCTGACCCTCACACCTTACGTCCTCATATCAAAGTTCTTTGTGCAATTTTAGCC